GAGAGAGAGAGACTCCATACCGAGAGAGAGAGACTCCATACCGAGAGAGAGAGACTCCATACCGAGAGAGAGAGACTCCATACCGAGAGAGAGAGACTTCATACCAACAGAGAGACAGATTCCATTTCAAGAGAGAGAGAGACTCCATACCGAGAGAGAGAGACTCCATACCGAGAGAGAGAGACTTCATACCAACAGAGAGACAGATTCCATACCGAGAGAGAGAGACTCCATACCGAGAGAGAGAGACTCCATATAGAAGGAGTCAGGACCAAATACCTTTTACTATTTGCAAAGTAAGTGATGAATTGTTACCCGGGGGAGGGGAGGGGATGGGGCATATACAGGGAATATGAAGGATGTGAGTCCTGGTACTGAGTACTTGGGTGGCCCTGGTCACACTCCTGCTACAGTCAGCTATTCCTGTCCTTGTAGGCCTGATTTTGCAGACTTTAGGTGCTCGGTCTGTACAGCCTCAGGATGTGTCCTCAGGGTTTGGTAACATTGCTCACATGCACCAGGCATGGGCCTGGTCTGTACTGTCTATTCACTGGAATATTTCTCTTAACTTTTTTCCTTTACTTTTGGCAAGTTTTGGTTGGACCGGAGTGCCGCTGGTTGTTGGGAGAGAGGGATGGAAGCCTATTGGGATGTTTGGTGGAATGGAGTTTTGATGGGTTGTTGGGAGTGTTGGGTGGATGGGGTGCTGATGAGGCGCTGGAAGTGTTGGGTGGATGGGGTGCTGATGGGTTGTTGGGTGTGTTGGGTGGATGGGGTGCTGATGAGGCGCTGGAAGTGTTGGGTGGACGAAGTGCTGATGGGTTGTTGGGAGTGTTGGGTGGATGGGGCGCTGATGGGTTGTTGGCAGTGTTGGGTGGATGAGGTGCTGATGAGGCGCTGGAAGTGTTGGGTGGATGGGGCGCTGATGGGTTGTTGGGTGGATGAGGTGCTGATAGATTGTTGGGAGTGTTGGGTGGATGGGGAGCTGATGAGGCGCTGAAAGTGTTGAGTAGATGGGGTGCTGATGGGTTGTTGGGTGGATGGGGTGCTGATAGATTGTTGGGAGTGTTGGGTGGACGAAGTGCTGATGGGTTGTTGGGAGGGTTGGGGGGATGGGGGGGTGATGGGTTGTTGGGTGGATGAGGTGCTGATAGATTGTTGGGAGTGTTGGGTGGACGAAGTGCTGATGGGTTGTTGGGAGGGTTGGGGGGATGGGGGGGTGATGGGTTGTTGGGTGGATGAGGTGCTGATAGATTGTTGGGAGTGTTGGGTGGACGAAGTGCTGATGGGTTGTTGGGAGGGTTGGGGGGATGGGGGGGTGATGGGTTGTTGGGTGGATGAGGTGCTGATAGATTGTTGGGAGTGTTGGGTGGACGAAGTGCTGATGGGTTGTTGGGAGGGTTGGGGGGATGGGGGGGTGATGGGTTGTTGGGTGGATGAGGTGCTGATAGATTGTTGGGAGTGTTGGGTGGACGAAGTGCTGATGGGTTGTTGGGAGGGTTGGGGGGATGGGGGGGTGATGGGTTGTTGGGTGGATGAGGTGCTGATAGATTGTTGGGAGTGTTGGGTGGACGAAGTGCTGATGGGTTGTTGGGAGGGTTGGGGGGATGGGGGGGTGATGGGTTGTTGGGTGGATGAGGTGCTGATAGATTGTTGGGAGTGTTGGGTGGACGAAGTGCTGATGGGTTGTTGGGAGGGTTGGGGGGATGGGGGGGTGATGGGTTGTTGGGTGGATGAGGTGCTGATAGATTGTTGGGAGTGTTGGGTGGACGAAGTGCTGATGGGTTGTTGGGAGGGTTGGGGGGATGGGGGGGTGATGGGTTGTTGGGTGGATGAGGTGCTGATAGATTGTTGGGAGTGTTGGGTGGACGAAGTGCTGATGGGTTGTTGGGAGGGTTGGGGGGATGGGGGGGTGATGGGTTGTTGGGTGGATGAGGTGCTGATAGATTGTTGGGAGTGTTGGGTGGACGAAGTGCTGATGGGTTGTTGGGAGGGTTGGGGGGATGGGGGGGTGATGGGTTGTTGGGTGGATGAGGTGCTGATAGATTGTTGGGAGTGTTGGGTGGACGAA